TTCTTTTATTATCTATATACCCGGCGTGAGATTAAGAAACAACAGTTCAAATGTTGGTCCGACCAATTTATTACAAATCGTAATTAGGGAAATGGGGAAGGGGAGGACGGAGGCTATTACGAATTAGGGTAATGGGGAAGGGAAGGAGGGCGATAGGAAAGATAGAAAAGATAGAGAAGAAGAAGCAAGGAGTCTTTATAGGAAGCAAGAGGGAGACAGTCACCACCATGGATCTAGCGTGGTTCGTAGTTCAGTCTTTGATCTTCAGTAGTGGTGGGTCGTCAGGCATTGTTCTGTTGACGACGAGGAGAATGATGAGAACGACGGCCATGACCATGGCGATGACAGCCCCTTTTCAATAGTTTCAAAGTGGTCGAGTCAGCTGTCTTTGGAGGGACAGCTCAAATCCAATGTGGTTGAGTCAGCTCTCCTTGGAGCGGCAGCTTCTGGCTCTGGGATCTCAGCAGAAACTCCTTTGTTCCCATCTTCTGGGCCTTGCCAGCAGACAAGAGGGAACAGGGATGCCCATGTGCATCTTGTTTTTCACAGAACATGATGGTATAATTCCCCAATTTTCCCATACCAAGCTGGAGCTCTTTAGTCACAGGCCAGATCTTCTGCCAGTTAACACTCCTGAGCACTCTATTCCGGAGGCAAGCAGCTCTGGAGGAAGGGGTTTCGAATGTTCCCAAAGTGATACCGATTGTCACACGGTTAGCACCCATCACTTGCCTCCTTAACAAATCATTGAGAGTCTTATCACAAGAAAAACCTCAGGAAGCAAGCTTTGAGCCAAAAAACAAAGGATTCTCACAATTAGAAACAGGAAAGAAGAAACAGATTTAGAAAGAGAGAAAGATTTAGAAAAGGGAATGGAAAAATAATTAATAAAGGAAAAAGAATTGGAATGGGAATTGTAATATGTTGAAGAAAATAAAATACGGAAAGGACTAAGAAAAGGAACATGAAGAAAAAGAAAAACAATTGGAAACAAACAGAATTGGAAACAATTATCAAAAGAAAAAGAATTAGAAAGAAATAGAAAAAATTCAAAACAAAAAAGAATTTGAAAAAGTCTTAAGAAAACAAATTAGAAAGAGAAAGAAAAGGAAATAAAAGAACAAGGAGAGAAAAGAAAAAGGTAAAAATAAAAAAACGAAGCAGAAAACTATTCGGAAAAGGAATTGGAAAAGGAATTGGAAAAAAGAAAAGCAGTAGAATTAGAAAGTGGATTAGGAAATGAAAATAAACTATAAAAAGGGGGGAAAAAATCAAAGGGAACTGGAAAAGGAACTGGAAAAGGAGAAAGACAAGAAGTTAACTCTGGATACCCCAAGTCTTACATGGCACGCACTAGAAGCCTGTTTTGCAACCTACCTCTTCTTTTTGCATCTCACTTGGTCAAAGCAGAGCAGTCACCATTTGGGCTCACTGTAGCTCCAACTAGGCGTAGATTGGCAACATGAAACACAAGAAAAATGAGAAACATTGCATAACGTCAAGAAATGATATTGAACCTAAAAAGAACAAACCCATGTTTGGTGGGAGCGACAGAAGGCAGAGACATCACATCAGTACTTGCGAGCCCTAAAGATGGGGGAAAAGAAAGAATACCTGGTGAAAGCCATGTGAGTGCAAGAGACAACTGATGCTGAGCCCAAAGAACTTCTACAAGTGTGGGAGCAACTTCAGAGATCAACACAGCTTGCCAGACAGAGTAAGGAGTGGATATTGGCATCCATCTATGGCTGTAGTTTTCTACTATAAACACAATGAGCCTCAGTAGAGTCCTTGCACCACTCGGGAGAGCCGCAGTTTTTCCACCACCGCTCACTGGACACAAGATAAGTAGACGTCACCATCAGGTAATGATGAAGGAATCAGTTCCCCTTTCCAAGGATCAGGGCACAACCAGCGCTACAACCCGGGGAGGCTTGAAAGGCCAATGCCATCTGATAGTGGAGTCTCCAACCCTAGAAGGAAAGAAGAAACCATCACGTCTGGTACTGAACAACATGGGGCAGGGAGAAACAGAGGTAGTTCTTGATACTCCATGTCATACACAGCACTCACTAGAAGCCTGTTTTGGAGCCTACCTCTTCATTTCACATCACACTTGGTCAACACTTAGTTGTATGCATTCGGGTCACCCAAGCTCCAACTAAATGTTGATTGGCAACATGAAAAACAAGACAAGACAAATACTGCGTAATGGTAAGAAATGATACTGAATGAAAAGCAAACAAAACCCTATTACAAAGCAAAGAACATGCCCTATTACCTTGATGCTCACCTTTTCCCCTGATTCCTCATTGCCTGAGTATTTCAGGTTCACAGACCTTCCCGATGCTTAACTGTACATGGGCATACTGGCTAAATAGAAAGTGTTGCTAGCTAAATGTTTATCTATTGCTAATGGCTTACATTCTCCTCCTTAAATTTTCTATCATCACTGAGGTCCTGTCTGACCAGCATCAAAAATCAGTAGTCTTGCAACATAATGAGCCTACTGATATCATTGTCAAGGGTTTTGGATTTCTAAAGGCATTATTGTAATGTTTAGGAGCGCGATGTCTATGTTGTCTGGAACTCAAGGCTCAGAGGTATTCCAGATGGCTGGACAGATAACAGCAGCAGTCCTTGTACCCATACATTCATTACTCCATCTACCTACTGAGCAAGCACCAATGTGGAAAATTCATCTAACAGGCAAGTGAAAGAGACCCTCAGAGACTCCTGATGAAATAAAAACACTCCCAAAAAGAGCTGTTAGTACTTAGTAGTACTAAGTAGTAATTAGTAGTAGTAAACAAACAACACAAGACTGGAGCAGAGACAATGACGTAAAATACTCACGTTTTAGTTCTAATGCAGAAACAACATTCCATTCCTACATAAGTATACAAACACTGCGTAACCTCACAAAATGACTACGTTTGAGGAGCACGTTGCTCCATGACAGCTCGTGCAGTGGGAGAATGAAGAATGCCTGAATCCAGGTCTGTGATCTGTTTTGGTAGCATGTGGGGTCACTTCTGGAGACTGCAGGACTATGGCATGACACGCAGCCCACTGGCAGGAAGAGGAGAGCATCAAGATCTGCTAGCAAGAAAGAAGAAGAAATCCCTGAGTCTTTTTTCTCCACAAGCATTTGTGATTCTTTCTCCTCTGCAGGGAAAAAAATAAACAAAAAAACTCCATTGTGATTCAGTCCCAGCACAATGATTAGGTGTATGGTATGTACTGAAGCATTGTGTATTAGGACAAAAGCTGCGGGAGAGTTAGTGACAGGATCATAAGTAAAACTAACTAGATGCCCAGTACTGCCAATATGGGCATGGGACCGTGACCAGCCAGTGACTGTGTTAAGGTCATCATAAGCAATTACAAAAATTAATCTGAAGAAGATTCCTGTCCAAAGCAGTAACACCAATGATACCACAGGGATCCCAGAGAAAGGAGCAGAGTGAGAAGGGAACATGTGAGCTACAGCAACAGTATCAGCATTCGTTAGCATCTGGAAAACAAGAGAGAACTTCCTGGTTCCAAAGAAACCAAGGTTATAAGAAGCAAAACTGGAAAAGAAAACAAAACAAAAATAAGACTTCCTGGTCCTAAATGAACCAAAGTTAGAAGGGAGGTGAAATCCAGATGGTTAATTTTGTACAGTTCCTCCTGATCATCTTGAGGCTTCCACAAGTATTTGTGAAGAGTCTCCCTGAGGGTTAAAGGGACAGGACCACAGTGGGGCAAATCAATCAACAGCAGTTGTCCTGGGGAGTAATCATCCCAATAAGCAGCTCTTGGAGTAAGGGACCACTGGCAGTGGTTGCCCGTGGTGAAAAATATTCCAGGTCCCCAATAACCCTCTGATTCCTTTTCAGTCAGCAAGATCTTACCTCCCTCTGTTAATGGCACTTTCCACACATACTGATTTCCTAAGGGTGTCACCAAAATCCTTCCTTACTTTGGCCGGCTCCGTAGCAAACAGGGAACTTTGTCAGTACGAACATCAGAATACCCACTGCCAGTCTCTTCCCATGCACGCCCAGTTTCTATCTAAAGGCAGGGAAGGATCACAGGTTTCCCAACTTGTCTTTTTGGGCTCTCACATCCTCAAGATTTTCTCCTGGAGGAAAGTCACTACCTGGGGAACTAGCATCTATCTCCCTGTCATTTACCAACTGTTCTCTAAGGGCTTGCTGAGGGAGGCCTTTTGAATGTTCTTTTTCTGTCCCCTAAGATCTTCTACTTGGTACTGCAGGTATGTCACCAATTCCTGCTCCATTAAACATGGAACACACCCAAAAAAGACTCCATTTTGCTTCCCTGCACCATCAAATGTATCATCCGTACCTGGCTTTGGCACTGAATTGATGAGAGACTCCGGGATTTTTCCGTTAATGAGCTCCACACACTCCCCAGGGAAAAATCCAACCTGTAACAAGAAGAAGACAGGTGTGATACTGAAGGCAGCGTTTCTCAGGCCTGAACTGTTCAAACATCACATTTTCCTCATAACGTGCCTGCCGGATGCTCCGTAAGACAATCCAACAAAAAAATGGCCTGCTTAAAATTAATAATTATTCCAAATTGGCAGACAAATATCCATAAAACTGTGTATGGAGCGGGGAAAGGACAAGTATGCTATGCACCCCTAAATATCAAGCGTGCCCGAAGGGAAAGACTTCATACAGAAACTATATATTATGATAGATTGATGCAGCTAGATCTGAGTTAGCACAGCCTATGAACTTTCTGCTTGCTGACGGAGATGCAGCTGCCATCCCCAGCTCTGAGCTACCCAGCGTTCTGCAGCCAGCAGCAGCAGCAAGCACACAGAGGCTCTGTTACCCTGCCTCATCTCAGCTGACAGGCAGCGACTTCCTGAAAGACACTGACTTCACCTTCTGCATGGCTGCAAGCACAAGTGCTCAGAGACACTGAAACACGTGTCCTAGCTGCTGCATTTCCAAAGGTGCGGTTCAGTGGCCATGACCTGATGCATGCTGTGAGGGCTCTTCTTTCTAAGTTAATTGAGGAGGCAGTTTCCTACAAAGACCAACTTTCAGCTCTGGCCTAAGCCCATGGCAAAAGGGAAAGTCCTCTGACACCAGCACAAGGAAACCATTTTCCATGAGGAGCCATGCTGTGCAGGCAGGGCAGCTCTAAGCTGAGATTCCTGCCTCGACCGAAGTTGCGCTCTCACGTCTGAAGCTTGTGCCTACCTGAAAGCCGTGCTTGCCTCTCCAGCGGGGGCTCAGCTCCTGAGGCGGCATATCGATGACGCACACGAGGTCTCCCACCTGCAGGAGATTGCAACGTCAATCCCAGCTTCAGCACGGCTGGGAGGAAAGCGCAGCTCAAATGACTGCATTCTTCTGCACTGCCCAATATCGTCA